CTACTTGGGAGGCTGAGGCAGGAGACTCACTTGAGCCCAGGAGTTGGAGGTTGTTGTGAGCTGTGATACCACAGCACTCTACCCAGGGGGACAGCCTGAGGCAGTCTCAAAAAAAAAAAAAATAATTTTGCATTCATATATATTTATTCAATGACAAAATATCCTATCTAGGGTTCAGAAAATACCAAATTCTAATAAATTGCCTCGCTCATCTAAGAAAGGAATGACTACATTTGGGGCTTTTATTTACTTTTCTCATTTTACTTGTTCATAGATATAATTTGTATTTTCATGTCCATATAGATAAACCACATTTAGGATTCTAAATAAAGCAACAGCAAGGTTTCTTATCAGTTTAAGACAGCTAATCCCAGCTAATTAGAAAGCTTGTGGAAAAACCTTTTAGATGTGAAGGCAGAAAACCAGAGAAACAAAAAATTCTCAAGAAAGAATTTTTTTTGTTTTTTTTTTTTTGTAGAGACAGAGTCTCAACTCTACTGCCCTTGGTACGGTGCGGTGGCATACACAGCTCACAGCAACTTCCAACTCCAGGGCTTAGGTGATTCTCTTGCCTCAGCCTCCCAAGTAGCTGGGACTATAGGTGCTCACCACAATGCCTGGCTATTTTTTTGTTGCAGTTTGGCTGGGGCAAGGCACCACCCTCGGTATATGGGGCCGGCACCCTACCCACTAAGCAACAGGCATCTCCACTCAAGAAAGAATTTTTCAGAGTACATTTCCCCTCCCATCTATAACCTTCAGCTAGTGACAACCTCCTGATCTCACATATCCTTTCAGCAAACATACTGAAAAAGCACCATGATTCACACTCAGAAATATTACTTAGGCACAGGGCAGAAAAAAATGACAATTACTGATGTGGGCTACCTGTCGATATTCTTTGTGATTATTAATAGAAGTACCTTTAGTACCTGTACTAAGTGCTAAGTAGACAATGATGAAGAATACAAAGGCACACCATCAAAGAACTTGTCACTACAGGGCACACATACATGTCAACATTCTGAACACTTCACCCAAATTCCCAGCTTTTGTTTTGTTTTTAGAGAGACAGAGTCTCACTTTCATCACCCTTAGTAGAGTGCCATGGAGTCACAGCTCATAGTAACCTCCAACTCCTGGGCTTATGCAATTCTCTTGCCTCAACCTCCGTAGTAGCTGGGACTACAGGTGCCCACCACAACACCCGCTTATTTTTTTTGTTGCAGTTTGGCCAGGCTCTGTTGGAACTCCCTACCCTCAATATACGGGGCCTGTGCCTTATCCACTGAGCCAGAGGCACCACCCCCAAATTCCTAGTTTTAAATCAAATTCCAGAGATTTAGTCTACAACTAAATTTTAAAAGATCTTATTTCCAAGTCATCTTGGTGAATTCAGGAGTAGTAATTTGAGAGCACCTCTCAAGAAATCTTATAGTACTTAAGCACTGAACATAAAAATAAAATTAGAACTTACCTTGATGTTTTCTTCTTTAGTTTTCTGAGCAGCAGGTGGTACTTTACCCCCCATGCTTGAGGAAGGTAAGAAAAAAATATTTGTTTAGGAAATTAAAATTCACCATGACAAGCAATCTATTTATACTTTAGAAAAATTAAGACTTAGATGGTTACCTTTCCAAAATTTAAGAGAAAACTCTCAATTAACTTCAATGCTTTAGTATAATTATGATTAAGTCTTTTTCAGCTTCAAATTTCATTTTTAGCATACTGGTTCATGAAACACTTCCCTGCCTCGATAAGCCAAATAATTACATAGCTTCTCTGTGCCCACTCCCAGAGGAAAAGAGGCAGATAAGTCAATATGCAATGACAAAATCATTTGTATCTATGAATCTAAAAGTTGAAATTTAACATTTAGCAAGCATTCAATTAAATTCAAACAGGCAGTTTATGGCATAATTAAGTAGTTATAATATAGTAATTCAAAATTTTTTTATGTGCTGACTAAGACCTCCAACAGTTTTTCTTGCTTCTACAGTAGACCTTCTGTAAACTGACCACCCAAGGGATTGTAACAAACTGTATGGTCAACATACAGATGTGGTTAACATAAAAAACTAGGCCTACTGTACTATACCCACATGTACTTTCCTGCATAGTTTTTACTAGAGAGTATCATACAAAATCATATCAAGACATAGTAAAATCATACATACAACTATACAAATCAATACATTTACTGTTTTCTCATAGTTAAATCATTCTTTCTGGAAAAAGTATCAATCTTGGTCTGTTTCTTATTCTTACTGCAAATGTAAATGAAGAAAGCATTCTCAACGCTGGCTATGCCACTCAGCATGCCTGGGCATTTTCCACAGCAAATGACTTCAACTGCGTTAACAGATGTCTGACAGCCTCCTCTTTTGGAGTCTGCAATTTCTGTAATCCTCCCTTGCTTCATACACTTCTACGCTGGTCTGTGCTTCAGTCAATATGGCTTGGAAAACTACTTCTAGATCAAGTTCATTACAGGTTGCCAACTCATCATCCATTGCAGCAGCAAAACCATCAAAATCTACTCCTTCAATTCTTCCACAGGAGAGAGACTCACAGGGCCAAAACATCATACTCTTGGTTTGTGACAAATCCAACTTTCTTTAAACACTTCATCATTTTTGGCTGAACTTTATTCCAAGCAGAAATGATCCAGAGGCCGAGACGAGTGGACTTCTTGAGCTCAGGAGTTTGAGACCATCCTGAGCAAGAGCCAGACTCCATTACTAAAAACTAGTAAGGCACTATGGTGGGGTCCTATAATCTCAGCTACTTAGGAGGCTGACATAGGAGGATCTCTTAAGCCTAAGAGCTTAGGTTCTGTGAGCTATGATGCCATTGCACTTGTCCTAGGGTGGCAGAGTAAAACTCTTGTTTCAAAAAAGAATTGATCAGCTCAGCACCTGTAGCTCAAGTGGCTAAGATGCCAGCCACATACACCAGAACTGGCAGGTTCGAATCTGGCTGGGGCCTGCAAAACAATGACAACTACAACCAAAAAAATAGCCGGGCATTGTGGCGGATGCCTGTAGTCCCTGCTACTCGGGAGGCTGAGGCAAGAGAATCGCTTAAGCCCAGGAGTTGGAGTTTACTGTGAGCTGTGACACCACAGCACTCTACCCAGGGCCATAGCTTGAGGTTCTGTCTCAAAAAAAAAAAAAAAAAAAAACGGAATTGATCCAGAAGACAGCATCCAAAGCATTAACCGATGCAGTGGATGAAGCTGCTTTCACAGCTGACCACAGTTCGTGATTTAGTAACGACCCACTGCAGGAGCATTTTAAATGTTTTGATAATGCCTTGGTCAAGAAGTTGGATTTTTGCGGCCACGTTTGGAGGCAGACATTTCAGTGACACATTTGTGAGATGATTCACTTTTAGGTGGTCAGGAAGATTGTCTACTGTCAGTAGAACAGAGTTTCTTCTCCATTTCTTGGTCAATACATCCTTTGCCCACTCCTCAAACAGAGCACCAGTCATCCATAGGTAACAGCTTGATCTCTAGGTGATAGGGGAGGTCTTTTTTTTTTTATTTTTGTTCCCATTTGCATTGAATTTATTTATTGAATTTAAAGATTTTTTTTTTTTTTTTGAGACAGAGCCTCAAGCTGTCTCCCTGGGTAGAGTGCCATGGCTTCACTGCTCACAGCAATCTCCAACTCCTGGGCTCAAGCGAGTCTCCTGTCTCAGCCTCCCAAGTAGCTGGGACTACAGGTGCCCGCCACAACGCCTGGCTATTTTTTGGTTGCAGCCATTATTGTTGTTTGGCGGGCCCGGGCTGGGGATTCGAACCCGCCACCTTAGGTGTATGTGGCTGGCGCCTTAGCCACTTGAGCCACAGGCGCCGAGCCGATAGGGGAGGTCTTTAGGCATCAGGTTCTTTAATGTGCATGGCTTTGCCAATTTACCAATCACCAAGGGCTTTAGTTTCTCTCCAGCTGAGCTAGCGTGAAGCAGAACTGTGAAAAGGTCTTTGGAAAGTTGTCAATTCTTACATTTGTTACCCTTCACAATGCGGCTGTTGTCAGGTAGTGGCTTGAAAGAGCCTGCACATGTCACCATTAAAGATATCATTTTCCTAGCACTCTGGTAGGGTGAAGCTGATGAACTGCTTGAGTTCAAGAGTTTGAGACCAGCCTGAGTAAGAGTTGAGATCCATCTCTACTAAAACTAGAAAAAACTGAGACAAGAGGATTGCTTGAGCCCAAGAGTTTGAGGTTGCTGTGAGCTATGACGCCATTCAACAGAGACTCTGTCTCAAAAAAAAAGGCGGGAGTTGTCATTACTTGAAGCCCCTGGCAAAGTACATTTTTGATGAACTCTTCCACAACTTCTACTGGAACTTTATCAGATTCACCTTATAAGACTTTCTGGGTGATCTCAGTTAAATCTGTCAGGCCCAAACATTTGCTGCTTGCAAATCTGACACTCCAAATTCCTGTGTACATTTTTCAGCAAATCCTTGGATCACTGGCCCAGGGATTTGGGCGTTAATTGCCCTCATCTGTTTGAACCCGATTAATGTGGCTTCATTGACTTTATCAAGGGAAATTTTTCTTCTTACCATACCTCTCCAAGTAAATCATGCTTACATTTTTGGACATTGCTAATTGTGGTCCTGTTGACACCAAAATGTGCCATTGTCTTTCTTCTGTTGCTGCTCTCCAGAAATTGTAGATGACTGACCTTTGTCCTTCAATGTCAGCTCTTTCAATTCTTTCCTGTGGGCCATCATTTCTCAATTAAAATTATTCAGTAATTGTAGGATGTCCTACAATTGAGACCAGTTCCTCACATTGAAAAAAATCTTTCTGGCTCGGCACCTATAGCTCAACCGGCTAAGGCGCCAGCCACGTACACCTAAGGTGGCGGGTTCGAATCCCCAGCCCGGACCCGCCAAACAACAATGACGGCTGCAACCAAAAAATAGCCGGGCGTTGTGGCGGGCGCCTGTGGTCCCAGCTACTTGGGAGGCGGAGGCAGGAGACTCGCTTGAGCCCAGGAGTTGGAGGTTGCTGTGAGCTGTAATGCCACGGCACTCTACCCGGGGGACAGCTTGAGGCTCCGTCTCAAAAAAAAAAAAAAAAGAAAAAAATCTTTCACAACACATGGTAAACAAGAGAATGTTAGGCCTAATCCAAAACGTGGTAATAAACACAGTGTAATAAAACATGAAAAAAAAACTTACAGTAAAGAAAAAATAATACAACAAAGGGGCAAAGCCCACATCCTATACCCCTTAGTACAGAGCAGACGCAATTGGTGAAGTTAGACAGGGTAAATTAATATTGTGTGTCACAGTTCAAGTGGTCAACATACAACTCAGAGGTGGTCAATAAAGTCAGTCTTCTACTGAGTACATGTAGTGCCTGTCCAGTCTCTGAAAATTAAGTTAGCTTAAGGACATGGTCAGCTATGGAGGCTCTATGGTATTTGCAAGATCCTCATATGACAGGTTTTCTCCTGCTTATCCCCTCTGAATTTCACCTACTTATACGTAGTGCTTCCTTTTGGCTTTGCAAACCCATCTTTCCCGAATAGTCCAGGGGACCACCATGAGTTATATGCAAATAATTTGAAAATTCAGAAAAAAGACTACAAAACCTAGGGTTATATGCTCCATTGCTGTAGAACCTAGCACTGGACATCCAACAGTCTTTTGACAAAAATGTCTGATGAATTTAGGGCACTCCACAACAGTAAAGGTTGGAAGTCACACTGCCAAAATTTGCCTTGAAAACAAAAAACAAGTTGTCATTAATTCTCCTTGTTCACATAAAAGAAGATATATTAACTTGGAAAGCATAAAGAGCTGACCCTATATGTAGAGTTATCAAGTCCACATTTACATTCTTTTCAGTTGGGTGGAAATTATTGACATAGGGTATATGCAGGTAGAATTTAAATGTGTGTCAGTTTTCCAAGGTTCTTTTACCAATTTACACTTCTATCGGCAGTGCATGAAAATTCCAGTTGTTCTACACATTGTATTTGAGTAACTTTTCTTTTTTTTTGAGAGTTTCACTTACTTACCCAGGTAGAGTACCATGGCATCATAGCTCACTGCAGCCCCAAATTCTTGGGCATAAGTGATCCTCTTACCTCAGCCTCCTAAGTAGTTCCAAATATAGACACCCACCACCATGCCCAATTATTTTTAGAAATGGGATCTTGCTCTTGCTCAGTCTGGTCTCAAACTCCTGAGCTTTGGCAATCCACCCACTTTGGCCTCCCAGAAAACCAGTAAGTCACTTTTCATACATATATTTACTGGCCACTCAATAGCCTTTTGTAAAGTTCAACTCTCATCCATCTTTCTATCAGGTTATCTTTATTTGAAGGCGTTCTTTGCAGATTCTGCTACATGCCCTTTGTCAACTTTACACATTACAAGTTATTTTCTCCTACTCAATGGCTTCCCTTTTCACTTTCTTAGTACCTTTTGAAAACCCAACAAGAAGCAAAAGCATAGGGTGGCACCTGTGGCTCAAAGGAGTAGGGCCCCGGCCCCATATGC